CAAATAAAAAAAAAAAAAAAAAAAAAGGAAGAAAACAGTCATGTTATTTAAGAAGTCATACCTGTGCTCCTCTTCGAAAAGCACGTGCCGTGGGACCTCCATGAAGCACCCATCCCACTCGGGAACGGGCAGGTCTCCAGGTCATCCCAGACCCTGCCCCCTGCCTGCCCACCGGTTCACTTGCCCCACTGGTCCCTGAGGGGATTCCATCTAGTTTTTAGCCTACCAGTTTACAACAATCCTGTCACAGAAGTCCTTGGGACAGAATCTTAAACTTCGGCCTAAAAATAGGACAAAGCAGAAAAGCTTTGGAGTCCCCCCACCCCATCATTCCAGCAAGGACGGACTGAAGTCAACGATGTGGAAACCCAAAACGCGTGTGGACGTTCGGTCCTCACCAGCAGACAGCCCTGCTTTCGAACTCCTGGAGACGGGCGCTCACTACCCCCAAGGCAGCCTTGGCATTACCTCCTCTGCTGCTCTTGGGGACCGCAGGCTGACACGATCCCTTCCCAGACCGGGCTTCCCCCAGCTCTCAGCACTGCAGCTGCCACCCCTGAAGTCCATGCCCCGTACCTTCAGCTCGTTGAGATAGCGCCTCGTGTGCACCACCAGCAGGTCCTCCTCCGAGGCCTCCCGTGCCTCCACCAGCGTGCTGTCGGACAGAAGCTTGTCTTCTGAAACCACAAGGGAGACGCCTACTTCCCTGCTGGCCTGGAAGCCCTCCCACGGGCTGCAGCCTTGGCCTCAGGCAGCTCCTGGCCCACGAAGCAGGGGACAAAGCTGCCTTGTGAACAAGCCACTTCCCGGGCCATGTGGACTAGCCACCCCCCGGGCCACCGTGGACTAGCCACCTCCCGGGCCATGTGGACTAGCCAGCCCCCGGGCCACTGTGGACAATGGTCAGGTCCTCTGGCCAGGGGGCAGCGAAGGTTGTGCACACAGGGATCCCAGATTTCCTGCACCACCAAGAGCCACAGGCATGCTCAGATGTGGTCGAACAACTTTCAGAGGTAGTGACGTAGGGGTAGGGGAGTTGACACTCAAGGTCAGAAACTGCTTCCAGGGACCAGCAGTTAGCGTAATGGCTATGTCGCTGGACTCCCACGTAGTCGACAGCGGTTCGAGTCCCGGACCCGGTGGCTTAAACTCACGCCGGGCGCGTGTGCGTGCGTGCCCAAGATCCCGAGAGGAGAATGGAGGAGAAGGGATTGCGGCGTGGCCATCCCCCCTGGGGGGCGATTTCCTGCTTTCTGTCTGTCTGTTTGTCTCTGTCTGTCTGGCGAGCGCACGCGCCCTATAGCAAAAACCTCTCCAAAAGAAAAAAAATAAATAAAAGAAACTGTTTCCACATTCTCGCACCGCCTCTGGCTACTTCGGCTCACAGGAGGCTCAGTGTCTGCGGCCTCTCCTAACACGTGCCTGACCCATTGTCATCTCTTTTTCACTAAAAGAGCAGCATCCACCTGGCAGCCTGCAGGCCACAGGACCCAGCCTGGACTCAATCATGCTGTTGTTTTTGCTGCATTTATTTTTTACCAGGACCTTCTATTTCTGGGAAGTGTAATTGCTTCTTCTCCCTGGGATAACACACTGTTTCCTTTTAAACCAAGTTTCATTTTAAAAACTTAAAAATAAAAACAGAGGCTAAGTCATTAAAACTATGAAGTAGGGCCGGCTCCATGGCATCATGATAACGCACTGCTCAAGGGAAGCCAGATCACACACACAGTGGCCTGGGTTCAAATCCCCAGCCCGGTGAACCTGAAACACGCCGACATGTGCGCGTACCTGCCGGGCTACATAACTGTGCCAGCGTGCCTTTGGAGGGTGTTCTCTCTCTCTCTTGTGTGCACACACGCTTTATCATGAATAAAGAAAAAAGAAAAGAAATATGAAGCAGGGGCGAGCAGGTGGTATGGTGGTTAAGGCGCTGGACTCCCACATGGCTGACCACGGGTCGAGTCCTGGACCTGGTGGCTTGCTTTCTCACTTTCCGTCTCTCTCACTCTCACGCTGTCCCTCCTTGGCCAAATTTAAATAAATAAATAAAAGAAATACATGAAGCGGATCATGAAATAGGTTGTATGAGGACATGGCAGCATTCCAAGAGTGGTCTGCATGGGAACAATGTTTGGGAACACTGCCTCCTTCCCCACTCCTGACACACGTCACGTTAAGATTTGCTTTGCTTTGCAGAAGCAGCAGCGGAAGCCGAGTAGGTGTCAGGGAAGTTAGAATTTGGGGACACCCTTAGAAACCGACTCCAGGGAACCAGCAGTTAGCGTAATGGCTATGTCGCTGGACTCCCACGTAGTCGACCGCGGTGCGCGTCCCAGACCCGGTGGCTTAAAACTCACGCCGGGTGTGTGTGTGTGTGTGTGCCCAAGATCCTGAGAGAAGAATGGAAGAGAAGGGATTGCAGCGTGACCATCCCCCCTGGGGGGTGATTTCTCGCTTTCTGTCTCTATGTCTCTCTCTGTCTGGTGAGCGCATGTGCCATATAGCGAAAACCTCTCAAAAAAAAAAAAAAAAAGAGTTAAAAAAAAAAAGAAACCGACTCCAGTAGAAACATACATTTTACACACATCACTGCAGCCAGGTCCCCCCCTCCAGAACAGTCGCTGGTCTACTCTGCCTGATGCTAAGGACCAGCTCCTCTCTTCGAAGAGAACTCAGGCCAACTGTCGGCTCTGAGATGAGGGAGACAAGCAATGCTTCTCTCACAGGAGCCCACGAAGGACAGGGGTGCGCCACTGCAGCTGGGCCTGCTGGAAGCAGGACGTGGGGACCATGCCTGCGAAGGCACAAGCGAACCACCAGGTGAGAGGCGGCTGGCTCCACCCACCACGCCAGGCCCTGGCCATCACCGCCTGTCTGCTTTTCTGTTCCACTTATTTTTTCGAATGCTCACTTTGGTCACTGCTCTACACAGAAAATTAGTATCATTCACCATAGTGTTAACCAAAAATAAATAAATCAATAAAAATAAAAACAGAACCAGATCGTGGCACAGCAGGACAAAGCTGAACACGCATGGGAAGTGCTTTGGGTTTCTGTCCTGGGGTGTCCGTGTATGCTGATTGAGTGCACGTACCCAAGATCCAGTCTAGCTGAGATGGGGTGTGTCATGGTGTTAAGACCCCATTAGGAAACCAGCAGTTGGCGTAATGGCTATGTCGCTCGACTCCCACGTAGTCGACCGCAGTTTGCGTCCCGGACCTGGTGGCTTAGAACTCACGCCGGGCGCTTGTGCATGCATGCCCAAGATCCCGAGAGGAGAAGGGATTGCGGCGTGACCATCCCCCCTGGGGGGTGATTTCTCGCTTTCTGTCTCTATGTGTCTCTCTGTCTGTCTGTCGAGCGCACGTGCTCTATAGCAAAGCGGGCGCAGTGGCCTTATAAAAAAAACCTATCCAAAAAAAAAAAAAAAGAGAAAAAAAAAAAAAAGACCCCATTGGGGGTGCACCTCTCACTCTAAGAAATAAATAAAAGTTTGAAAACTATATAAATAAAAATAAAATGGGACCAGCAGTTAGCGTAATGGCTATGTCGCTGGACTCCCATGTAGTCAACTGCGGTTCGCGTGCCAGACCTGGTGGCTTAAAACTCACACCGGGCGCGTGTGCGTGCATGCCCAAGATCCCGAGAGGAGAATGGAGGAGAAGGGATTGCGGTGTGGCCATCCCCTCTGGGGGGGTGATTTCTCGCTTTCTATCTCTCTGTCTCTCTCTGTCTGTCTGGCGAGCGCACGCGCCCTATAGCAAAAACCTCTTAAAAAAAATTAAACTGTTGCGTGATGGCGCCCGCCCTATGGCAAAAAATGAAATAAATAAATAAAACAATGAAAACAAGCAGTGTTACTCATTTTTAATCTGATCACGTCACCTTCAAGACGTGGGGCTCGAGGCTTCCCTTAGATTTGTTAAAAATAGAAACGGGCTTCGACATTAAAGACGGGCCGACTCCAGGCCTAGTCTGGTGGCCAAGTCCTTAGTGTACTGACAAGTGCTGAAAGCCACATGTCAGCCTTGAGTTCGAATCCCTAGGTCACCCTGACAACGTGCATGGGCACCCAACATCCTGAGGAGCTGGAATGGGGGCCGGGGATCTTAGCATGAGACTGACCAGGGTTCTCCCTTGTGCCTGTTCCCATGCTATCAACCACTTAGTAGCCAAGTGACTTTGAGGATGGTTCCTAACCTTTCTGGGCCTCCATTTTCCCATCTGTAAACAATGGGGTGGAAGCAAAGGTTCTCTGTCTCCCGGGCTCCGAACTCTAAGCAACGAACACGGGACTCCCAGATGTCAGTGTCTCTGGGTCCCTCATTAATCAGCCTCCCTCCTGCTGGGCCTTGGAGGCTGAGGTACGACCTAGGTCCACAGCCAAGGGAACTAGTGATGAGACAGGGGCCCACCATGCTTGGGAGTCTGTATGGGAAAGGTCCTTCTAACACCAAGGGTGGAAGGCACTCTGAGGACAGATGCTAAAGAAGAAGAGTCTGAAACTTTTTTTTTTTTTTGGAGAGGTTTTTGCTATAGGGTGTGTGCACTCACCAAAAAGCCAGAGAGAGATAAAGAGACAGAAAGCAAGAAATCACCCCCCGGGGAGGATGGCCATGCCACAATCCCTTCTCCATTCTCCTCTTGGGATATTGAGCGTGCGCGCGCGCGTACACACACACACACACACACACGCCCAGCATGAGTGTTTTTCTTTCTTTCTTTCTTTTTTTGGAGAGGTTTTTCGCTATAGGGCGCATGTGCTCACCAGACAGACAGAGAGAGACAGAGAGACAGAGAGACAGAAAGCGAGAAATCACCCCCCCAGGGGGGATGGCCACGCCACAATCCCTTCTCCTCCATTCTCCTCTCGGGATCTTGGGCACGCACACACACGCACCCGGCGTGAGTTTAAGCCACCGGGTCTGGGATTCGAACCGTGATTGACTATGTGGGAGTCCAGGGACATAGCCATTACGCTAACTGCTGGTCCCAAGAGTCTGAAACTTACATTGGGGATGGGGATGAGGAAGGGGAGGACAGGTGGGCAGAGGAAGCAGATGTGAGGGTCAGAGGTGAGTCTTCCATACCTTTCAGGAAATTGATCACTTTGCCCCATTTCCCGGCGTCGAAGGGGTGCAGCTTCTCCAGGCCCATGAAGGTGATGTTGTAGCGCGGAGAGTACACGATTGGCCAGCGAGTCTCTGGCACATGCTGGTACAGCTGGGTTGCGTGTGGCCTTCCGTGTCCATAGGGCAGACACACAGAAGAGGGGCAGTGTCAGTGTGGAAAGCAGACGCCCCCCAAAACCCTCGTGGATCCACCAGACAGCTCTGACCCAGGACCACTAGCTCCCTGGGCAGCAGAAAAGGCCATTTCCGATAACTTCCTTACTGAGCACCAGCTGTCGCTCCCCGAGCCCGATTCCACTCCGGTCCTCACAGCAGCCCAATTACGCTAGAGGACTGGAGAGGGGACCAGGTGTGCCCAAGGTCACACGGTAAGTCAGTCAGTGGTGAGGCAGGTGTGCACCCAGGTGCGTCTGGCTGCTAGCCTCAGCGCCTCACTTCTACAATCTTACCAATCACAACAGCTGTGTGGCTTGAGTTTCTCAGCCTTAAAACGAGGACTAAGACACTGCATCAGAGGTCTTGGGCACGCAAAGAGCTCAAAACCCGCAGCCGGTACTCAGACTGGCCCGCCTAGGAGCGGGGGCAGGGGTCACTTCGGTGCTGACGCCCCCCGCAGCCGCCAACTCCGAGCATAACTGTGCCTGGAAAGCTGGTACTGGGGGTGCCTCTGCACCGCTGGCGACCGGGAGAGGACGGGCATCAGATTGCGCACGTCGCCGGCTCCCTCCTGGTCGGGGCCTCGAGGCCGCCGCGGTCCTTCTAAGAGGGGAGCAGGATCGCGGAGGCGGCCAGGCGCGCGGAACCCGCCTGGGAGCGCCCCTTCTTCCACTACACCTGGGCCTGCACCTGGTGGCCCCCCGCGCCATCTCGTCCCCGCCCACGGGGTCCCGGAGCTCGGCTCGGCACCCCACCCCGAGACCCTACCCTTGCAGCACTCACATCCCGGGGCCTGGCCCTCCCAGCGCTGGCCGCCGCTCCGCGACCGGGTTCCTGGCCTACTTGTAAACTCCCTATTAAAAGGCAATATTTATCTGGGGACCAGCAGGTGGCGTGGTGGTTGGGGCATTGCTCTGTTCCCTCCCCCACACACATAAATAGCCAATGGAATTCCGTCTTTCGAGAGAAGCCACGCCCCTTAGGGGGCGGACCGTGCCAAGTTCCACCTCCGTGCGTCATAGAGGGCGGGGGCGCTCGTGGTCGCCCCGCCCTCGGGGAGTGATCACGTCCTCTCTCCTCGTCAGTCAGGCCTATTCCTGAGCTCGCTTAAGCGGGTAGAAAACCGGGGTGGGTGGGACTAGAACACCTGCTTTCTGGGCGGCGGGAAGGCTCTCGCTGGGTGCCCTTGAGCAAGCGTCCTCACTCGCTGGGCCTTTGCCTGCATAATATGCGCTCTAATCCTGCCATCTCTGACCCTCCGGGATGCAGCACCACCTCCCACCCCAATCTAGGAGTGGGCGCGAGACTGCGCCGAACTCCGGGGTCACGTAGGCTCTCGGAGCCTCCGTTTCCTCGCCTACGGGAAAGAACTGTTGACAGTCTTCTGGAAACTGCGCGTTTGCACACCCCTCCACCGCGCCCGCCCCTCCAGCCCCAGGAATCTGAAACAAGCCTGAGCAGCAGCTTGGGGTGTTTGAGGGGCTGGAACTCGGGAGGAGGACCCAACAATAGAGCCCCAGATGACGGAGACAATGGCCCTCTCTGTCTGCCTGGCTCTCCCCGCCGAACAAATAGGAACAGCTGACCAGAGGGCTGCTAGGAGTCGGGCAGCCGGGATCCCTTTGGCTGCCTGGGGAGTCCTTGTGACAGGATGGAACATAATGAGAGCAAAGAGCACAGATGTCCGAAGATAGTCCCCGCCCCCCGCCCCCGCCGTGTACCTGCGACGTGATTGCAGGATGGCGTTGGATTCTCAGCCTAATCCTACAAGAGGTGCCAGCGCTACCGCACTTTCTGTTGTTTTGAGAACACCCCCTGGGGGGAATAACCAACCCTGCAATCCCTACTCTACTCTCCTCTGGGACTTTGGGCACACATGTACATGTGCCCAAGTGTTTCTCAAGCCACCTGGTCCAGGATTCAAACTGTGCAGCCGGCCACGAGAGACCCAGCTGCACCAAGCACCCGTCACCTAGCTGGCCCTCATCACCCCGATTTCATTATAAGGTACTTGAGGTTCAGGCCTGGATTAAACCCAGACTCAGCCACCTGCCGTGCTGTGGCCTTGGGCAAGTTGCTTCAACTCCGTGGTCCTTTATTTCTGCATCTGAAAATGGGTGATTGACTGCCCACCTACCTCCTGGGGAAGCTGAAAGAAGCAAGACATAACGATGATTATGTAGAGAGCTCCTATCAAATGCCAGGTTCCATTCTGAAAACTTTATACCAACCCAGGAGACAATGCAGAATGACAGTGGAACTTGACCAGAGAGATCAGGAATGTGGGTAGATGTCAACTATAGCCATGAGAAACACAAGAACAACAACAACAACAAAACCACCTTAGTGTTTAAGGACACAAGTCGGAAAATGTCCGAAGTAGCCCTGTGTCCTGTGTGAGAAGCTGACTTCATCCCAAAGAACTTGCAGTGTGGTTTCAGGGGAGCCTCTGGTTTGGAGAATGAGGGTCCGGGAGAGGGCCTAGGAGGTCAAAGGGAGCACTGGGCTGTGTAAGAGGGTGTTTGAAGTTGTGTCCTGGTAGCCGAGGAGGCAGGTGGACTGGGGAGCCCTGAGGGCTCGGGGACACTTTGAAACCACAGTGCCCTCCTGGACCACCTACCCCCATGATCACACGTGGGCGGAATACACCGTATTAGTCAAGCTTTTGTGTCGAAGGAGTTCATAGTAAACACATCCCAGGGCGGCTGCTAAGAAAATGCACTGTGGCCACAGGCCTACACATGGCACGCAAGGTGAAGTTCACAGCTGAGTGGAAGAGACAAACCTTCAACTAGAAAGCAAAGTCAAGCTCTTTGAGAGAGAGCATGATAGGCTCCTGACCGAGACAGTGGTCAGGGAAGGCCCCTTTGGAGAGCTGAGTTTGTAGGGACCAGCAGTTAGCGTAATGGCTATGTCGCTGGACTCCCATGTAGCCGATGGTTCGAGTCCCAGACCCGGTCACTTAAACTCACACCGGGTGCGTGCATGCCCAAAATCCCAAGAGGAGAATGGATTACAGCGTGGCCATCCCCCCTGGTGGTGATTTTGCACTTTCTGTCTCGCTGACTTTTTGTCTCTTCAGTGAGCGCACATGCCCTATAGCAAAACTCTCTCTCTGAAAAAAAAGAAAAACAGAGGGACTGATGTTTTCACTTTTAAGCCACGTAGAGTTATTTAAAATGTCATTGTGATAAAGCCCAACACTGAATTATTGAATTTGTGTAGTTGGCTATTTTTCCCACTTCATGCTGTCTTGGAATGTATTTGAGCTTGAATAAGAAACCGCTAAACCCTAACGCTTCTTGTGCAAAAATGCACACATATAAAGGACACTTATAACTACAGAAACACAGCAACTGTTAATCATTGGCATGGAGTTGGCTTGTTTGTTTTTTTTTTTTAAGGGTTTTGCTATAGGGCATGTGTGCTCACTGGAGAGACCGAGACAGTCAGAGGGAAAGGGGAAAGTGAGAAACCACTCCCCAGAGGGGAGGGCCACACTGCAATCCCTTCTCCTTTGTTCTCCTGGAATTTGGAGCATGCACACCCACGTGCCTGGCATGAGTTTCAAGCCATCAAGTCTGGGCCTGGAACTACAGTCGGCCATGTGGGAGTCTGTTGCCTTGACCATGCCACTTGCTGGCCCCCAGAGTCAGTATTTTATATAACTTTTTTTTTTTCTAGCCATAGAGCATATGTGCTTGCCACAGACAGCGGGAAAGCAGGAATCACTCCAAAATCCCTTCTTTTCCATTCTCCTCTCAGGATTTGAGGCACGCACATATACACACCCAGAGAGATTTTCAAACTGCCGGGTCTCGGACTTGAACCATGGTTGGCCATGTGGGAGTCTAGCCCCTTAACCACCACACTTCCTGCTGGCCCCAATGTAATTTACTATTATTAGATTGACATATCCTATCACAGTATTCAAATTATGCTCTTTAAGTTTGTTGTTGTTGTTGTTTTAAGTTTTAGGTGTTAAGGTTATTTGCCACAGGGCACCAGTATTCACCAGAGGGAAACAGAGAGGAGAAAGCACCCCCAGGGTGGCATGATCACCCGCAGTCCCTTCTCCTCCACTTCTCCATTCTGTTGGGATTTGGAGCATGTGTGTGTGCATGTTTAAAAGAATTCTTTTATTTAACTTTATATATTCACTTATTAATTTTAATTTGACCAGAGACGGACAGAGTGAGAGAGAGAGAGAGGGAAAGTAAGAAGCAAGCCGCCAGGTCTGGGACTCGAACCACTATTGGCCATGTGGGAGTTCAGGGCTCTCAACCACCATGTCACCTGCTGGCTCTGCTTGGTATGTTTTTCAAGCTTCCAGGGCTGGGATTCGAACTGCCCAGCCATGTGGGGTCTGGCTCCCTTAACTACTAGGCCATGGGACCAGCCCAGAAAAACCATGCCCTTTAAATTCAAGTGAGTACCTCCTATTTCTATTGCAGTGCCCTTGCAATTTTACACGTATTTTCATATTTAGAACAGCAACTAACAATGTTAGCCAGTACTTTTATTTTTTTAATAATTATTTTATTTAACTTTATTTATTTTAATTTGACCAGAGAGAAACAGAGAGAGAGAGAGAAAGTAAGAAAGCAAGTGTCGGAGCTAGCAGTTAGCATAATGGCTATGTCGCTGGACTCCCACGTAGTCGACCGTGGTTCGAGTCCCGGACCCAGTGGCTTAAACTCACGCTGGGCGCGTGTGCTTGCGTGCCCAAGATCCCGAGAGGAGAATGGAGGAGAAGGGATTGCGGCATGGCCATCCCCCCTGGGGGGTGATTTCTCGCTTTCTGTCTCTTTGTCTCTCTCTGTCTTTCTGGTGAATGCACGCACCCTATAGCAAAAACCTCTCCAAAAAATAAATAAATAAATAAAGGCTCTCCTTGACTCAGGGCACTCAAAGCCTGTCACTTTGACATTCAGTCTTTGCCACCTCTACTTACTCTCTCTGTCTGAAGCCAAGGATCTGGTCCCACCTGGTGACCAGACAATGCCCAAGAGATGGGAAACTGCTGCATCTGTTAAAGCCCCTGGGTGTAACTATTGGAGGCTCTGACCCCAGCCTCAGCCAGGTTGACCGCACAGGGATGGTTTGGACACTGTGGGCAGGTAAGATCATTCTTCAGCGCTCAGTTCCTGGCAGCCAGAGAAGAAGACCGGTCCTGGGGGAATTCCACAGCCATGGCAACTCCTTAGCCACAGTGCCACCAAGAACAAACATAGCACACACTGAGAGGCACACACCCACACCAATAGACACAGACAGACTGCAGATTGTCACACACAGCCACACCCACTGCGCATGCCACCACGCCCCATCCTGGCAGCTGGATAATCCGCCCATCTCCCAGCCTCACCTTCCCTAACCACCCCAAGGTAAAGGTGGGATACCTGAAACTACAGAGCATCTTCATTCCTGTTCTCCTTCCCCAGAAAGGGAAGGACCCGGCTCACAAATACTGAAGGAAAGAAGGGAAGGAGGGAGAAAAAGACAGACGTAGACACAGACCTAGATGTACACAGGGCGAAGACAGACTCAGGGGCTGTTGGGCTTGACATTTACACAGGGAGGGAGGGAGCTCTTTTAAAAAGGGGCTATTGGGCTTGATGTTTACACAGGGAGGGAGGGAGCTCTTTTAAAAACTATTGCAGCTATGAATTCAAAATTAGAGAGCTTAGAAGGAACCAGGTAAGTGAGGAACCCTGAAGCAATGAGAAATCTGCTCCTGCCCTACACACAAAACACAAAAATAAAAGCCCATGAATGCATTTAAGAGGACAGACACTGCGTCCCCAACCACTCCAGGACACAACCACGCGCAGGACCCAGGTACTGACATGCACAGTGTCTGTGTCCCATCATCCTCGGGGGCTGGCCTCTCTCCCTACACAAGCCTTCAGAGGCCCCCGCAGCTCTGACTTGGAAATTAGACTCCAGGCCTACTGCTTCAGTGTGGACAGGTGTCCTCACCTTCACGCACGTTGCCGGTTCAGAGGAGCTGACTCTGCTCCTGCCTCTGGTCTCCTCCCGTCTCCTCACTGCAAACTCCACCCCTAGCACAAGGAGGAGAAGGAGTTGGTGGGAGCTGCCTCTGGGAAAAGCTAGCTTCTGGTCTTTCTTTAGAGCCCAAAATATTCGCTTCATTCACACCCTTACCCCTCAGGAAGGAGAAACCAACACCCAGAGGGGAAGGTGTGAGCCCTAATTTGGGGAGAACAGCAGTTGAGCAGTTGATCATCGCAAACACATGCCCTCCTCAACGTGAGTTTCCCAGAATGCACTGGACAGGGATC